ACATTTTGCAGTTTTTCTCCGCGCACCTTTTACCGATGAAGCTCGTTCTTGTTGCCACAGATCGGCAGCTGTATAGAGCGATACCCTTGCACCCTAACGAGGAGCACAACTCTCCTAACGGGCGGCACGGCTGGCCTTTGTGGGCCGCAGCGGGGGGGTTTCGATGTTTTCTCGCAGCGTGTTTCTTGGTGCAAAGAGCCAGAATTTCCCATGAGCATGGTGAACTGCTTTCCTATGGGAAAATCGAGAGTGCGGCTCCTATGTTGATATAGAGTCATATTCTTTGATTTTCACCGTTTTTTTCAGGGGGCTCCGTGTATACAGTCTATACCCCCTAAATCCTATCAGATACCCCCCCCCCCAAGCGCAGCAGCACAGCAGCAGCAGCAGAGCACACAGCACACAGCACACAGCGCACGCAACCCAAGCACCGCGCTGCAGACACCACCAACGGTATTTAACGTGGAGTACTTGCTACGATCCTTCGAAACATCGCCGAAAATCGCCGAGGAACGTTTTTCGGCAGCTCACCCCAATATTACTTAAATTATCACCGAAAATCACCGAAAAAGTTTTTTTTTGGTTCTCACCTTTTTTTTTGGCACCGATTTTCGCCGAAAAAGTTTTTATCGTGCAGCTAGAAAAAACACCGTTTTTTTTTTTGGCAATCGGAAAAAATCACCGAAAAAAAAAATCACCGACGGAAGACGGAAATGCGGCGCAACCTCAAAACGCGGCTTAACTTCCGGCCGATCTCCGATCTGGGAGCTGGGATTCGGAGATTTGGATCGAACGTTCGAGTCAAAGAACCACAAAGCTTTTAAGTGTGAGCTCCAGCTGTTTCCAGGCGCAGCGCAGCGCTCGCTACTTTATACTCTTATTATGGCCTTCGGGCGTCTTTTGACACGTCTGTGGGATAAAGAACATCTGGGTGCTGTAGAGCAGCACTTTGGACGTGCGACCCTGACAAAAAGTAACGCCAAACAAACGTGTGCCGGTTTCGCCGCAGCAGGCCAAGTGAGGGCGCGAGATAGCCCTGATCTCGCCGAGACCGTCCGCTTCAAGCCTTGTAGACATGCCAGACGAATATCCAGCGGGGAGGGGACGTTTAGTCAAAAGCTTTGTAGTATGCGCTCCATCCTGCTATGTGGACGACACAGCAGTAGCAGTAGCCCCCAGAATGCCAATACTGCTGCTGTAGTCTAGACAACATGGTCGACATGCTGCTGTGGACGACAATGAGTCTTCGAAATAATTGCAGCGCTACAATACAGAACCGGCCCGCAATTAAGAACCTCTTATTTGGAGCGAGGCTCGCCTCTTGATGGCTGCCCCAAGCCGAGCACAAGTTCTTATTTGCCAGTTTCTTATTTCGTCGTCCAGTTGTCTCCAGAAACGGTGTTCTTGTTCTTATTTTATCATCGATTGCTCAATTGGTGCACTACTCAACTGCACTGGACGCAGAGTTTCATACCCGCAAACACCCCCCCATGGGGCAACTGTCAACCGTCTTGGTCCACAAGAGTGACGTTGGGGGTACGTACCCTTCCCGCCCTACTGACGTTCTCAAGAAAAACCCATGAGCCTACCGCCGCGTCCGGATCTCGGCTGTACTTGTCTAAGGGCCGTTTTAAACGGACCGACTTTTTNTATCATCGATTGCTCAATTGGTGCACTACTCAACTGCACTGGACGCAGAGTTTCATACCCGCAAACACCCCCCCATGGGGCAACTGTCAACCGTCTTGGTCCACAAGAGTGACGTTGGGGGTGCGTACCCTTCCC